AACTTTAAAAGGAATTTTTTTTTCTTTTTTTTTTAATAATGATATTATTTAGTTTTGTTTATTGTTTATTTATATGCTATATTATATCATAATGATATAATCGATCAAATATAATAATTGTTAATCAATCATTCATAGAAATTTAATCGATTAAAAATCAATTAAAGTTAATCCAATTTTGATCGATGACAATATTCTGCGATCGACAAATTGATTGAAACAATCAATCATCGATCTTACTTAATTCGATTAAAAGCCTATCCTTGATAACAAGTCATAACAGATCTATAGTAAATGTTATATAACTTGAATTGAACATAAAACTATTTGTTATAAGTACAGTGACTACCAAAAAAATGCAAGTGTGATTGGTTACCTTTGAACAGCTATAACTCATCAAATACAAATGCTAGAAATATAATCTTATACTTGTTTTAAAGCCCAAATCTTGAAGGAGATCCTAGTGAAATCTAGTATCAAGTTAATAATTCCAATTTCAAGTAACTTAGCGATCTATATTAAAATTTATTACATAGTAAAGTTCAGGTATAGAAATATTTTTTAAGTATATTAGCTACCACAAAACTGATACTAGATTTCAATTCTTCTCAATGTAATAATTCCAATAAGCTAAATTTTGTAGGAATTAGACTAGCTGATTAGGAATTATCATGTAACAAAGATCAGCAAATTATTATATAAAAAGTAGCTGAACCTCTTTTATATAATAATTTGCCGATCTTTGCTACGTGATAATTTCTGATCAGCTGGTCTAATTCTCACAAAATTTAGGAGTATATAGAAAACTAGTATAATACAATTTACCAGACCAATATGGTACGATTATACAGATCAGTAATTTTGTTAAAATTTGATATTGTATCATACTGTACTGCAGTGTTGTCATAAGACATTGATAGAATACTGATGGAACGCTAATAGGGTATATATGTGATAGATAGGACCTTTAAGACATAATGTGGGACAGGTTAGGACATATAGCTAAAACAACAAATCTCTAAAATATCAAAAATATACATCACTGCTATACTGGTCTTATAATAATTATATAATCAATCCAGTACAATGGTATAGACTAATTTTATAAAATTTATACTATACCATATTTGTCCTATAATAACTAAGCCCTATTATAGGACTAGTATAGTACAATACGTAATGAAATTTTATAAAATATATTTTTATTTATTATTTATTTTATATATACAAACGAATTTTGATATAATGAACAGATTTTACTATATTAAAAAAAATCATTATATCACATTTTACTAATTAAATGCTATATTCACAGAAATATTTTTTTTATTTTATTTTTATTTTCATTTTTTTTATTCTTTTTATTTTATTTTTTTGAAAAAAACAAAAAAAACAAAAAAAATCTAAAATAAAAAGAAAAAAAGTAAAAAAGAAACAAAATGAATTGCAAAAAAAAAAAAAAAAAATGAAAAATCAAAAAAATAAAATGAAAATGAAAGTATAGAAATTAAATAAAAAATAAAAATTAATAAGAAAAGAAAAAAATAAATAAATGAAAAAAGTAAAAGAAAAAATTATAAAAAAATAACTAATGAAATATAAAATAAAATAAAAATAAAAAAAAGAAAACTAAACAGAACTAAACAAAAAAGAAAAAAAAATAAAAGTCCAGTGAGAAAGGATAAAAATAATAAAAAATAATAGATTAAAAAAAAAGATTAAAAAAAAAATAAAAATAAAATAAAAGTCTGAAGGGAATTTAAAAAAAAATATAATAAAATATAAAATAAAAAAAAAAATAAAAAAATCAATTAAATATATATATTTATATACTGAAAAAAAATTAAAAAATATAAAAATATATTAGATAAAAAAAAATAAAAAATAAAAAAAATGCGAAATTTGATATTGTACCATATTATACTAGTCCTATAATAGGGCTTAGTTATTATAGAACTAGTATAGTATGGTATGAATTTTATAAAATCAGTCTATACCATTATATTGGATTAGTTATATAATTATTATAAGACTAGTACGGTATGATACAATGTCAAATTTCATCAAAATTACTAATCTGCATAATCGTATTATACTGGTTTGATGAATTGTACTGTACTGGTTTTCTATCTATTCAAAATTTAGCTTGTTAGAATCACTGCACTGAGGAGAATCAGAATCTAATATCAGTTTTGTGATAGCTAGTATGCTTAAAAAATTTTTCTATATCTGAACTTTACTATGTAATAAATTTTGATGTAGATTGCTAAGTTCTCAAAATTGAAATTATTAATTTGATACTAGATTTTGCCAGGATATCTTTTAAGATTTGGGTTTTAAAACAAGTATAAGATCATGTTTCTAGTATTTGTGGTTGATGAATTATAACTATTCAAAAGTAACCAATCACACTTACGTTTCTTTTAATAGCCACTATAGTTCCTAGTTGAAACGCTATACTATCTATGATACAACTAGGATTTAAGAGATCTGAGTTCAATTCTTAGAATGATTTTATCAGGAAATTTTTGAGTTTGATGTATATATAATAAATATTAAAAGTTTAATAAATATCAAAAAATACATTATATATCAAACCTTTAGATGAAATATTAATACACATTTAAATAATATTTATTACTAAAATAAGATAAGCAGCATTATATATATATTATTTAATATTAAATATATTTTTATTATTTATATAATATAAAAAAGAAACTATAGTAATAAATAATAATATATATTCAAAAAAAAAAAAAAAAAAAAAAAAATGATATAATCATGCTAATAATTATTCATTTCATCAGATTTCTTTATATTTCACTTTTGAATGATAATAAAATTGAATATTATAAGCAGAAAGCTTGAGAGAGAAAAAGTTTTGCAATACCTTGAATTTGTAAAATCACAATTTATTTCTATTAATTTTTCCTTTCCACTATAGTTCATCATTACTATCTGATACTTGAATATTATTATCAATGTTTTCAGATTTCTTTTCATTATTATCAGCAGGTTTCTCTATAAACTCTTTTAATTTTTTTCCTATTAATTCACTAGTAAGTATTATTGTTTAAATATTTGGATTTAACATAAAGTTAACTACTATAATAATAAATGCACAATTTTTGATCGTTAATATCATATAAAATTAATCTTATTACGCTACAAAGATTGACTAATGATCAACATTATTAACATCATTAGCATTTTTAACTTAGTTAACATTTTTATTTTATTTATTTTATTCATATATTTTATTATCATTATTTATTATATTATTATTATTGTTAAATTATAATTTATCTTTTATATTTATCTTATCATTATAAAATAGTTTAGCGTTAGATAGCAATTTTTTATAATTGTATTTTTGTATAAATAGGATAAAAATTTGTTCTTGCAAAAGGACAGAGATAACAGTGTAAACTTAATAGTTTAAGTTTAAGACTTAGAATCTAAGATTAAAGATTGCTTAGGATACAAATCTCTACAATAAAGGAATCTCTTTTTAAACTACACATATTAAAAATTCTTTAACATATCAATTATGTTTATCATGTCTACAAGTTGTTAAAGTTATTTTCTCATCTAAAAATATAAACCTAAAGTTGATTGTAATAGGATTTATTCTATAGTAACTTAGTAGTTTCTCACATATTACTTCTTGTTATTAAATTATAGTTACCCTAAGTTCGACGGGCTGAGCATAGAGTTAACATCATTCAATCATTATCTCTCAAAATTCATTAGTGATACAATTCATGTATATATCACTATTATTACTATTATCTTCTACTTTATTCCATAAATTCTCATTTGTTCAAGTCACATTTAGAGATGATTTTCATGTAAATACATTATCTGCTGTTACTTGATATCCAGGGAAATTTCTAATATATGCTTTACCAAATATATTGATTATTGTAATTTTTAATATTTCAGACATAATTTATATATTTAATGTAAAATTCATTACAAGTCTATTTATAAATAATGAAATAATTAGTATTGATTGTAATTTTATTAATATATATTTAATTAATAAATTCATATATTAATAGTTGTAATATTTCATTCTAATAATTTATCCAGCCACTTTTTAAATTATCAATTTTTTCAATTTCATTAGAATGCATATCTGACAAAGTAGAGTAAATGTATTTACTCATATCATTATCTCTAGAAAACTTATTTAATTAAAAAAATTTGTTACATATCTTATTCATAGTTTTCTAAATCAAAGTAAAATGAAATTATTAATCTAAAATAAAATGTAATATATAATCGATATATGATATTTACTGTATACCAAAACACTTTCTTTTTTTATTAGACTTGAAAAAAAAATTTATCAGAATCTTCACAAAATTTATCTTGCAATACTTACTCTTTAATATATTCAATTATGGCAGATTCTATATAAAGAGCAGTTTCTTTTGCCTTAAAAGCAGCTTTCTTTAATTTAAGAGCAGCTTTCTTTACTTTAAGAACTTTATCATATGCAGTTTGTGAATATAAAATAGCTTTTTTAATAGAATCACATCTTTTTCATCAAGCTGAATTACTGCATAAGTCAAATTTATTATTAAAATTTTATATAAAGAGTATAAGATACACAAATTATACTGCAAATAATACTTGCTCTTTATTGTTACATTATTATGACTAGAATTATATTTTCATTTTAGTTATACTTTATCCATCTGATCTTTAATTGTTATAACAGCATCAGAATCACTCTTTCATTTTATTTGAACTTAATCTTCAATTATCATGTTAAAATTTCTCTAATATAAGATGATTGATAAAATTAAAGATTAAACTGATACATAAAGTACTATTGGTTATAGTATCTATTATTACCTTTGTATAATTTTATTCTATAAACGTTTTATCAAGTGATGATTTTTCAATAGATGAAATGTATACAGATTCTAATGGAAATTCAGAATCTATTTATATGATAATATTATCACTATCATATTTATCACTAGTTTCTTCATTACTATTTTTTGACGATAAATTTTTAGTTTCTTATATTATTCATTATATTATTAATCAAAATATTAGTTGAAATTAAAATAGAAATAAAAAACCATTCAATAAAATAATTCTTACAATAATCTTATTAGAGCGTAAACTTCTGGTACTTGATGATGTTAAGGTCTTAGCTTTAGCAGATGCAAAATTAATTAAAGGATTATTACCACTAGATGGTGGATTTTTCTTTGAATTATGATGAGATGTAGTTGCTATGATATTTTTCTTGAAATTTGAATCAGAAAACAAAAGATAATTAAAGAATCTGAGCTTTTAAATGATTAAAAATAATGCAAATAAATGAATCTATCATTATAATAATAATTTAATAACTAAATTTGAATTAATTAAATGACCATCTTATAACACTGATTAAAATCAAAAAAATCAGACATGTGAAAATTGACCTAAAATCAGCCAAAATTTGATCTATTTTATTTATAGCCGATTGGCATACTTATAGCTGATTGGTATATATCAAAATTTGACCTATCTTATTTATAACT